CTTATTTTTAGCAGGAACGGGACAGAATCTTGTGGGAGCAGGACTGAAAAATGTATCTTGTGCAGACCTCCATATCACATTAACGAAATTTTGTGAGCAAAAAAAGTCCATTGTCTATTATCAGTAGTAGGGCTGCACAATAATGTTTAAATGGTTAATCATGGTTATTTTGCACAAAAAAATAATTACAATTATTAATCATGATTTCATTTTATTAGTTAATTCATACAATTATTAATCATGATGTCATTTTATTATTATTATTATTTTCTTATTTCATCAGAATTATTGCACTTTTATATAAGCACAACTCAAGAGAACGTCAACTCGCATGGTTTGCTCACAGGTTTAGTTGCAGCAAACAACGCAAATGTGTGAAAGAAAAGGACTGGCTGTAATACACTTTGATTTGAGCAGAATATTTCAACAGAAATCGCTAAAACTCCAGCTTACATGTTTGCCAGTGCTTTCAGCTCATCAGCACGTTTTCTGTGATGTAGAGAGAGCACATGCGCATGGTTGCCAGGTGGGGAAGATTAAGTAAACCACTGGGCAGAAAATTTATCGATTTATGATAAAATGCTCTGATTGTGGGATTTAATCTCTCAAAATTTGGCAGCCTCAACCATTAAATTTGTTACCAATGCAAGAGTTGCATTAGTTCCTTGAGGAACTTGTTTGCGATCCAGCAAGGTTATGTAGAGCTGAACTTTATGTTGATTGACCCTATTCCCCCAACAAATTTGGATACAGCAGTCAAGAAGAAGAAAGTGAAAGTGACGTGACATGTGGCTAAGTATGGTGACCCATACTTGGAATTAGTGCTCATTTAACCCATCCAAAGTGCACACACACACTGTGAACACACACCCGGAACAGTGGGCAGCCATTTTTTGCTGCGGCTGCCCGGGGAGCAGTTGGGGGTCCGGTGCCTTGCTCAAGGGCACCTCAGTCGTGGTATTGAAGGTGGGAGAGAGCGCTGTACATTCACTCCCCCCACCTACAACCCTGCCGGTACGAGACTCGAATCCGCAACCTTTGGGTTACGAGTCCGACTCTCTAACCATTAGGCCACGACTTCCCCTCTGATTAATAATTGTATGAATTAACTAATAAAATGAAATCATGATTAATAATTGTAATTATTTTTTTGTGCAAAATAACCATGATTAACCATTTAAACATTATTGTGCAGCCCTACTACTGATAATAGACAAAGAAAAACACTCTACTAACAACGCAGCGCAGCTATATGACAATCTTGACTAATTGCTAACTGTCAGTGTGAACGTATCTTTAAGGTAGCGTTTAATCGCTTGAGGTCACAGACTCGCTGTACTGTTGCTGTTGCTAGTAGAGGTGTTCCTGATTGTGTCCAACTGTATCAGTTGAATGGCTGTCTGCACTTCCATTGGTTGTCACTGGATGACATCACTGCTCATTAGCATAAAATTTTACTTTGTCGCATCGCCAGCAGTGATTGTCACTCATGTCACTGGAAATCACCGACTCTCACTGGACTTGTGAAGCAGGGAGACAAGCATAGACAAAGAGTTAGAGAGATGTTTCTGAGTGTAAGTGAAAAAAGTAAAAACTTATTTTCTGCCAAAGCGCAGAAGAACAGCATATCGAGGAGCTCATGCCAAAGAGATGCAAGTGAACGACAGGAAAGGAGAAAGATGGTCAAAAGTGAAAACCTTGGGATCTATTTTCAGTTCAGAGAAGAGTTCATGTTCGTGTCGGATAGAGAGTGAGGGTGGACGAAGGGAAAGTGAGATCTGGAGAAACAATCTGGAGAAGACTGAAGTGCCTTTGGATAGTCCATGCATAAAAACTCTTATCTGTGTGTGTTTGCTTCCCCTGCAGTCCTGGCTGTCTCAGACAGAATGCATCTGCTCACAACAGAAGCCATTTTGACTGGTAAGTATCAAGGCTCTTGACTCTGGCATAAGAAATGAAGATGGTGGCCGAGGGCCAGAAACACAGACATGTGGCCATTTTAATAGAGAAGATCTGAAGAAAATCAATACAAATGTGTAATGTTTGAGAATCTTGAGTTTATCGGGTTTTTAAACCTAACTTTGTAGCTCATCTCTTCTGATATTTCCCATTTAGCTTACCCTTGTGAAAATTAAGTGCACTTGTTCTTGTACTGAATGGGAATTTGTAGTGTACTTCAACTTCTAAAAGTATATTTAAAAAAAAAACTGTTCTTGCAGATAATATATTTATGAAATAAAAGGTCAATCAAATGTATGCAAAGATTGTCCACTTTCAAAAGTGCATTTTGCCAAAATATAAGTTTTACTTTAAAGTACATTTTAAATTGTTGTAATGGTCATTTTTCATGCTTTAAAGAAGTACACTTATTTTGATGTTTACTAACATACTAAAGCATATTGATTTTAATTTTAACTGTAGCGTGTTATTTAATATTAATATTTTAAACGAACTAATATACAACTTCTTTATCACAAATATGTTATTAATGATGAATGTAACAAGCAATTACAATGTATTACAGTGTATTGCAATTATAGTGTAATTACAATACATACAAGTTTCAATAGAAATTAAATTAAAGTATATTTTAGTTTACCATTAATGTTTGTCAGTACATTCAGTAGTAAACCTTAAACCATATTTCATACAAAAAATGTACTCAAGTGTTACTTTAGTGGGTCAAAAACACCCCCCCAAAAAAAAATGTTTCAACCATGATACATTTTCATTTAAATTGCAAATTACATGCAATTAATTGTGTGCTGGGTAGCCCCGCCCACAGTGAAATCTGATTGGTCTAGAATCCCACTCTTCATAATTAAACAATATATTAAACATCCAACATGTTCTAACTGGGTATGAATCAATTGACTTTTTGCTGGAAATGTATGGTGTTGTTTACAGTCAGGCTGTTTTGTCTCATGCCAACAGTAGAATTGATTTATTGACTTCAGGGCTCTGCACCAGGAGTCTCTGTGACATGTTTAACAAGGCGGTTTGTTTTTTGCCATTTATTAAACATCAAAAATTCTGGTGGTAGTCTGTAAGCGTTTAACGGTGTGTGTCTGACACGATGGCACTGTGCTCATTACTTTAATTCAGAATACACACCACACAGCTTTGATTTCTTCATTCGTAACAAAAATGTTGGTTTGAATGTGTTTATTGCTCAGGCATTGTAAATGGATTGGATTCTGGAATTGGTGTGCTTGTTTGACGTGTGAAAAAAAAAAAGTGTTCAATTATGAGCCCTCTTCTTGATCCGAGCGTATCTAATATGTAATTTTCTTTTCATTCTTTATCTCATTTCATTCAAATAATGGCTTCCTGTGATCAGGTCCCTCATTATTTGGGTAAACAGGCCTCTGCCACTCTGGGCTCTTCAGGTCAGAACAAATAAATCATCTCTGTCATTCACACACTCACACATACACAGGTGTTTCTTCTACAGGCACTTTTGGGATCTTAAAAAGGCATTTTTTAAACACTTTTCAGGCTCTTTCTGTTTTATTTAATATTAAAGCAATGGATGTTCATACATAACTAGGGTGGCCATACGAGCCATTTTTACGAGACACGTCCTGGCCAGGATTTCTATATTTGGCTTTGTTTTCCTGTTTTCATACTTGCTGAAGGTAATGATCGAAAAGTAGCTTGACCAATAACATGCAGGCATTGTACATAATCGACCAATCGTGGCGTGTGAGAAGGTGGGATCTACAGAGAATGGTCAAAGCGATGCAAATACCAATGCGCAGACCGATCGTTATATGACATCAAAGTACCGCGAGAGCGATTCAAATTTCGAAAGCATAAGGAGCTTCTGCTCTCTATAGCATGTCATACACCGATCGGTCTGCGCAGCACAAATGGCCAAAACCTGGGATATTTTAGCCAACATAGAAATCCTGGCCAGGACGTGTCCCGTAAAAATGGCAGGTATGGTCACCCTATACTGTACATAACAGAAGAATTTTGTCATTATTGGCTTCACTGGTTCCACGCAGAACCTTTAACATTCATGGAATCTTTCCATTCCACAAAAGATTCTTTATAGTGGGAAAAAAAAAAAAAACTTTAGATTTTTTAATAAATTGATGCGATGATTGGAAATGCTAATTTCATAGCTAGCATTTTATGCTTCCCAAATACACACAATAAAAAATAAAAATCCACGTTTTGATGATTTTTCGTTCTTTTTTTATTATTTTTTTGGACCTTGTCTTTTTTTTGATCATGTCTTGATCTCAAGCATCTTTGTCAATGAGCAATACATTTGTTATTTTATTCATCAATTATTAATCTTTGTTAATGTTTATTCAGTGACCATTCATGTTAGCTGATTTTCATTAAATAATGTTAAGAGATACAACTTTTGAATTTAATTATGTATTAGTAAATGCTGAAACTAACATGAACTACAGTTAATAAATGCTTTAAACGTATTTTTCATTTTTAGTTCATTTTAACTAATGCAGTTAACTATTGATAACAACTGGAATCATATTGTAAAGTGTTACCATGATTAATGTATGTATGTATGTATGTTAAAAGTTTTGTTCATAAATGTTGATCACATTTTGACTGAGGTCACATTTTAGATTTTAATATTTTTAGATTGAAACTTAAAAGTGTCGTGATAGGGTAAACAAAACAAAAATCTTTACATAAAAGTAGCAAAAATAAATGATGCAACATTTTCAAGATTTTTTTGTGACCTTCATATAACAAAAACCTTTACTTAAAACTTCATTAAAAATCAACCCATAGTTCATAAAAGCGCCTGTGGTTGAAAGACACACACAGACACATTTGCCATTGTTGTGTTGCCCTTCGTTTTGGCCATTTATTCCCAGACAGTGTGAAACATGCTGCCCCTGCTGTTTCTTCCTACACAACCTCTGCTTCTCTCTCATCTCTGTCCCTTTTTGTCTCTCTGTTTGTCTGTTTTCACCTCTCTCCAGGTGCTTGTTGCATTCATCAGTTTTTCAGAGACCATGTTGCTGGTGTACCTCAGCTACAAGGTGAGTCGATCAACACATGTTCCCATGGTTTTATCACTAGTACACCATGAGACCCTCTTGGCTTCAAAGAGGTCTGTAATACCTGGTGAGAGCTATCTGTATCTATTAGCATTTCCATTCATTACAATGCTGGCTGCAAACCCTTTTTAGCTTTTTAAGAGCCCTGCCTGACTTTCATTTAGTCAGAAAACATGTCTGCTTTTGAATGAATGTCAAAGAAGAAACAAGCTTTGTTAGTTACAACTTCTACCAGCAGGAGCTAACTGACGCTAACCAATCATTACTAATGTTTTTTTTTTTCTTTCGTGGAAATGAAATCCCTACACTTTAGCATACTTTAACAAAGATTAGTTATAAGGAAATAAAATAGTCTGATTTAAAGGAATATACGTAAGCAAGCTACAAAAACAAGCTCAAAGGGATAGTTCACCTTCAGTTGCTGGTCCCCATTGACTTCC